TGGGCCCTCCTGTCAGGAGACGTGCCCTAGTGCCAGGAGACATGGTCAGCCTGTGGGCCGCTGCCCACTTGGCTTCCTGAGCGGCACTCGGGGAACCGGTAATGGTGAGAGGCGGCCGCTCCGGGCTCTGAGCAGGGCAGAGCAGGCTGTCAGGTGCCATCACTGGCCGGGGAGGAACAACCGCTCCCCGGGGCAGTGGTGCCAGGCAGGATTATGATCAAGAGGCAGTGGGAATTCCTCGGCCACCACCGGCTCATTCTCTGTGGGAGCAAATTCTCCATCCTTCTCACTTCTTTCCTGATTGGCACATATTCTCCCACTTCCTCTGAGGCCACAGTAACTGCCTTTTGCACCAGCATCTCTTTAAAGTTGCATCACTGCCACCATCATCGTCATCATCCTGTCATCACCGTGGCAACTCCACTTCTCCCACTCTTACCATGCTCCTGGCACCATGCAACAGCCATTCACTTCTCACAAGAGTCCTGTGAGTGGCCAGGATCATGCCCACTGCATACAGAAGGAAACTAGAGTGCAGGCAGGTGACATGACCCACCCCAGGTCACAGCAAGCAGGTGGCAGAGCCAGAATTGTGAGTCCAAAGTCCGTGTGCAAAACCACCTGTCAGAGCTCTGCACTGGTGCGTGTCACTTCCTGGGCTGTGTCACTGAGCCACGTGTGTGCGAGTCGCTAGACTAAAGGCCGCCTCTCTGCAAGCACCTCCGAGACTGCGTCCTGGTGAAGCCACGATCCAGGCTTCCCTCTGGCTCTGCCCTCACTCCAGCTACGTCTGGAGCCTGTGTGAGTGTGGCCGAGACTCTGACCTCACTTGGCATGAATCCGAGTGGCCGTCGGTCCGCCCGGCACCCCTTAAGCGCCGAGATTCTCTGAGACCGGCCCTTCTTGCTCTCCCTGCACCTGGGCCTTGGGCTGAGTTCTTCACTGCGCATCTGAGCTGCTGCTGCTCAATGAGGAGCCAGAACACTGTCTCCCTCTAGGCGCACAGTGTGGGACATTGGGGAGAGGTCACGTGAGAGGACAAGGTAGACGGGGCAGGTGGTTCTACTTCTCAGCCGGGAGGACAGGCTGCCCCGAGGTTAGGACCGTCCCCGGGCACGGCCTTCCTGGAGCCAGAGGAACGTGGCGGGAAGAAGAGCACAGAGAGATGAGAGGGTGGGTGTGGGGCCTGAGTGTCTGGGGCGGTCGGGGTGGGACAGAAAGCTGTGTCTGATGCTGCTGCTGTCCTGTGGGGGCGGGGCAGTCTGTGGGCAGCGCTGACTTTTTATAGCTGCGTGGGAACCGTCAGGGAGGAGGCTGGATTGGCCGGGCCTGGGGCACAGCTATATTCGGTAAGCAGCGGGCCCCTGTCCCAGCCTCAGAGGTCGCAGGCCGGGCCAGGCAGGGAGCCAGGGAAGGCCGGAGCGGGAGGGAGGCTTGCTGGTGAGAGTGTCTAGTGTTGAGGTTGCAAATGGTGGGATCCAACCCACAGATGTGCTTTGTGTCACCCGCCCACCGGAGGGTCTCTGGCAACCTGGGGCCGGAGTTACGAAGTGCTGCTCCTTAAGACGGACCCGCAGCATTGTTCAGTCCGGTCTCCCACCTCTGACACCTGTGCTCCATTTGTCAGCCGTGGCCCCGCTGTGTGGACCTCCCGGCCGGCTGAGCCTCCACGTGCAGCCCTGCTTATCCTCACTGCCTTCCGGCGGGGTCCGGAGCGGTGAGGGTCAGAAGTCAGTTTGGGAACTTAGCCCCGGGGGTTGTGCTGGGACATTGGGGCAATGTTGGAAAAGGATGTATTCCATTCATCACTTAACGAAAACGTCCCATTGGTGGGAACAGAAGCCTCCTGCTGCCTGCTTTTCTCTCTGAGCCTTTGCATGCACGTAAGTGTGATTCTAGGCACACATGTGTCATGTGTGTGTGTGTGTGTGTGTGTGTGTGTGTATGTGTGTGGTGCGTGTGCGCCACATGGTGGATACCACATCCAGCTCTCCCCGGAGCATCTGTTTCAGTCAAGGACTGGAGACTCCATCTGTTGGACCAATGTGACGCTGCCTGTGCACCTGCGGGCTCTCTGACCTGCTGTCAGACTCCCAAGGGTCTGCCCCTGGGAGAGCCCCTCCAGGAGGTGATGCCTGCCTCTCTCTTGCATTTGCTTGGTGCTGGCTGAAGATGCGCCAGGAGGAGACTGCCAGCTACAGAGTGGTGCCGACAAGCGAGGAGGGGCTGGCGGCCAGCGGCGAGCTGCCCGGACCGCTCCTGATGCTGGCCCAGAACTGCGCCGTCATGCACAACCTGCTGGGCCCGGCCTGCATCTTCCTGCGCAAGGGCTTCGCGGAGAACAGGCAGCCTGTACGTAAGTGGCCCTGGTGGAGCTGCGCTCGCCTCGGCTTCACGGGGTGAGAAGGTGTGGGAAGAAGAGGGGCTCTGTACACCGAAGTGTGCACCCCCAGCAGATACTCCTCAGACCCTCAGTTTGCACATCTGACCCCTGAGGTTTCCCACGCATGTCTGCAAAGCACTGTTGAGTCCACCTCCAACAGCAAGAAATGATAACAGCAGCCAACATTGGGGATTTTAAATACATACATGTTTTTGTTGATTTTAGAGAGAGAGGCAGAGGGGGAGAGAGAGAAATATCAACTGTCTCCTATATGCACCACATCCTGATGGGGAGTCGAACCTGCAACCTTTTGGCGCATGGGATACGCTCAACCAACTGAGCCACACCGGCCAGGGCATGTTTGAGATATTTTTTTAACACTTACTGTGTGCCAGGCACTGTGCTAAGAGCTTTGGTCCATTGCCTCACTTAAGACTCAGAGCAACTCTAAGAGGTAGGTACTGTTATTCCCATTTTACAGATGAGGAAAGTGCATTGGAGAAGTAACCTGCTGAAGGTAACAGCCTGTGGGTGATGGAGGCAGGATTCAGACTCAGGAGTCTGACCAGGGCCTCCTGTGTTCTGAGCAACAGTGCTGAGCACAGTTCTGTCCAGCAGGCCTTGCTGCCAGGATGGAAACATCCTGTATCTGCCCTGTCCGATGTGGCAGCCACTAGCCACGTGTGGCTGTGGAGCACTTGACACGTGACTAGTACAGCTGAGGAACTGGATTGTTAATTCTGTTTAATTCCCATTTGGATTTAAATAGCCACGTGTGGCTACTCTGTTGGTCAGCCTCCTGCAGGCCTTGGACAGCCACAGGGAGGAGGGGAACAAGGATGGTGTTACAGATAGAAATGTTTGTGGGTTCCATTTCCGGTATGCTCACAAAGGCCCTGCAGCTGGGTCCTGGTATTGACCTGTTTTACAGCTGGAGAGACTGGCTGGGTCACAGGGGTGACCTGCTTCAGGCCCATGGCTGGAAGCAGCAGATCTGAGCTTTGCACTCAAGTCTGACTCTAGAGGCCAAGTTCTTCCCCCGACAGTTATGTTGGAGAGAAAGGAATATGTGTGTGCTCCATTCCACCTGCCCCCACCCCCAATCGCTCATGGTCTTCCTGCCACCCAGACTGGGGGGGGGGTCTGCCTCTAAGCACAGCACACATACCCCCACTCTGCACCGGGTGGGGGGGCGACCCAAGCCCCGGCCAGCAGGACTCAGCCAGCACCTCCTCACTTCCTCAGTCACTTGCACTTCCTGGGGGCATGGGCACTGCGAAAACCCAGGAGCCAAGTCTGACTTGAAGCAACTCCTGGGGGACAGAGGTCTGGTTAGGTCTGCGAAAGCATAAGCTCCCAGCAGAGACAGACATCCTCCAACGAGCCCCACCCTCAGCTAGAACGCCACCTGCAGGACCCGTAGCCGGCGGCTGCCTGTCCCAAGCACATGGACACACTCCACGCTGTCCTGCCACATACAGCCACGTCTAAGCACCGGGCCTGTGCACCTCCTTGTTCCACTGGATGTTGCTCAGTAGCCCCTTTCTAGAAGATTCTCAGATTTTCCAGAGTCAGGGTCCCTTGCCCTGGGGCCAGTTTGGAGTGGGTGGGAAGCAACCATCTCTCCCCACCCTGGCCCTGGTGGCTAAAGCAGCCTGTGCACAGCTGAGATGCCTCCCGCTCATGATGGCACACCACGTGTCTGTGTTCATGACAGGTGTGTGTGTACCTGGCGTGCTTCCTCAGGCGGCACAACTGTCCCGTGTTCTCCCTGCCCAAAGGCAGAGCACTGTGCCGTCTGGGGAGGAGGAGCCCGTGGACCAGTTTGGGAGCTTACTAAGCAGGTCCAGCTGGGCAGCCATCCATTTTGTGCCAGTTCTTCTGGGACAGGCACGGAGCAATGGGCCCTCACCAGCTGGAGTGCCCCATGCGTCCTCCAGGCCTGCTCTTTCGAGACTTCCCTGCCATCTGTGGTGATGCCTAGACCCAGAGTTCCTTGGTTCCCAAGGAGAGCCGGGCCTGCTGGAGCTTTGGATGTGAGCTTTGGGGCCTGGTGGCGGCTGGAGGCACTGGCAGCCCCAGGCTCCCATGCTGTGCCTGTGGCAGGACAGGGTGTAGCATGGGGGTCAAATTGGAGAAGGTAGAGCAGTGCCCGGGAAGCAGGGCACGGCCCTAATCCTGCCTCCACACCTTGGGTCCTCCCCTGCCTTCGCTCTGGGTTGCCTGCCTAGTCCCTGCTTTCTCTCCCTTCCGCCCTCTCTGCTCCCATTCCCTTGCAGGCCTCCTCTCTGGTGACCTCCCGCTGACCCTGTTTCATTTACAGGTTTTGCCTCTGTTCCAGCTCTGTCCTCTGACACGTTCTTGTGTCGGAACCAAGGGGCTGGGTGCAGAGGGGCTGTGCCCGGCTGCATGGGGCGCTTGGGTCCCTGGGCATCTGCCATGCTGTGGGAGACATGGGGGTACGCCTTTTCCCCTCAAGGACACGGCCCAGGCATGCTCTGCTGCAGCCCGCCACCTCCACCAGCGCTGCCACCACTCACGTGCATGGCCCTCAGGCTGGGCATTGTGTGGCTCCGGGCGCCTAGCACTGCTAACAGGACTCCTTCTTCTGTTTCAGGACAGATCCCTGCGGCCAGAGGAGATTGAAGGTAAGACTGGCCCTAAAGGGGAAGGGTTACTCCGCCACCCAGGAGGCTGAGGGAAGGGGACCCCCTGACCTCCAGGGACGGCTGGTCTGGAGCCGGGGTCAGAGGAGTTACAGCCAGCAGCTCTGGCTCTGGCTCCGGAGGCTCTGCAGCTCCCCCCCCCCCCTAATCATGTCCGCCTTGTTCCCTCCCCCAGAGCTCCGAGAGGCCTTCCGGGAGTTTGACAAGGACAAGGACGGCTACATCAACTGCCGAGACCTGGGCAACTGCATGCGCACCATGGGCTACATGCCCACCGAGATGGAGCTCATTGAGCTGTCCCAGCAGATCAACATGAACCGTGCGTCACTCCACCGGGCACCTCCTTCCCCTCCGTCCTCGCCACGCCTGGGTTCAAATTCTGGGCCCACCTCTTTCCAGCTCTGTGACCTGGGGAACACCACCTGGAAATGAGGGGTGCGGCAGAGGGGGAGGGGGCACAGGAAGTCAGCTTGAGAATATATTTAAAACGGCCACTGTGAGCTGAACAGAGATGCTTTTATTGCTGTTTTCCTCTTGGTCTGGGTTCTCTCAGAAGCAAGCCTGAGACACGAATTTAAAAGCACAGGACGTTTATTTAATAGGTGATGACTAGGGAAGTGAGACAGGGAAGAGGAGGAGCCAGCAAAGGGTGCATTCTCGAGCCAGCTACCACTGACCCAAGCCGAACACTGCTGGGAACTTGGGGAGTTGGTGTGCAGCTCCCCTCAGAGCTATTTAGTAGCCCTCACTGGGCTACACCCCCAAACTCCTGCCAGGCATTGGTGAAAGCTGCTGTTAGCAGACCAAGTGGGGGGTCAGGCCTCCGACACTGGACACTCGTACCTCCTGAGAGAGCCCATTGGAAGCTGAGCTTCCATTTGCACAAAGGGAAGGAAGGCTGGAGGATGTGGGCCAGGCACCCAGAATGTTCTGCTTCCCTCTCTGCCTTCCTGATGTATTTCTGTCTCTGAAAGTATTTGCCTGTCTCTGTGACCTAATGTTTCTCTCTCTCATCCATATCCATCTCTGCCCACTTCCTGATTTGTCCCCTGGCCACTCTCCTGAGCCATTCTTTAACCAACTCCCTGTACATAGTCACTCTCTGTCATCATTTAGCCTCTGGTTAAACCTTGGACCTGGCCCTGGGCAAGTCAGCGTGGGGTTGGTAAGACCTCCCATTGCCTCGGAGGGGGATGGTTAGATGGTGACCTGGCTCTTTCCTTTGTCCCCAGTGGGTGGCCAAGTGGATTTCGATGACTTTGTGGAGCTAATGGGACCTAAACTCCTGGCAGAGACGGCGGACATGATTGGTGTGAAGGAACTACGAGATGCTTTCCGAGAAGTGAGTCACGGGCAGTGGACAGGCAGGGGAGGTAGGCTGGTAGAATCCCAACCCCAGTGTGGCACCCTGAAAAAGAATCTGAACCCTGGGTCCCAGGCCAGGAAGGAGCTGGACAGAGAAGGTTCTTTGGGGAGAAGGAGACAGTGACTCTGGAGAAGGAGCTCAACCTTGGGATCTGCTTTTGATGGTCTCCATGTTACAGCTACCGCTCCCTCCTTCCTGCCCTGTCTAGTTTGACACCAATGGTGATGGGGAGATAAGCACCAGTGAGTTGCGAGAGGCCATGAGGAAACTCCTGGGTCATCAGGTGGGACACCGAGACATAGAGGAGATTATCCGCGATGTGGACCTTAATGGGGATGGCCACGTGGACTTTGAAGGTAGGTGGGCTTGAAAGTGGGAGAGAAAGTGACTAATTCGTGGAGCCCTCCAACTATATATCCATCATGCAACCATCATTTATTTCAGTTTCCCATACCCTACCCTTCCACCCTGCCATCCATGCACCACTTTCAATCTGCCTTCCATCTCTATGCCCACCCATCCATCCATCCACCTATACTACCTATTTTATCCATCTTTGCATCTGTCCTATTTATCCACTCATCCATCTCTTGACAGTTATCTATAGAACCATTTATCCATGCACTTATCTCTCCACCCATGCCTAATACTTCTATAATTCTCCCATATATTCATCCATGCACCCATCTACTCATGTATATCTCTCCATGTATCTATGCTTCTCTACATTCGTTCAAATGTTTATATATCTTTAACCACCTGCCTATATTTCTACCTAATTGTCTGTCTAGTTGTTTGCCTATCAGTACCCATCTACTCATCCATACATCCATTCCTGTGTCCATCTTCCCCCCATCCACTTCTATCCATCTTTCCACATCCCTCCATCCATGGAAAGGATTTTCTGAATGCCACATTCCTCAAGATGATACTCAGGCCCCTAAGATCTGACCACAGCTCCTACCATTCCTTCACTCCCCTGCACCTTACAACTGCACCAAAGTACTCGTGGTCCATGAACCTGCTGGGCTTCTGTTTGAACACACGTTCTTCTTACCAAGATGCCTTTTATTCTGTTGTTCACTTGGGCCCAATTCTGTTCATCCTTCAAGATCCAGCAGTGGGACACTTCGTTCAGCCCTTCTCCCCTGATTCTCCAGATTGAACTTTTGGGCCTTCAGGGTCATCTTTGTTCTTCACAATGTCCTCCACGTGCTACTATTGTCTCTCCACTTGACTCTGAACTTTTCCAGAAGAGGAACCTCCTCTCTTTAGCTCTGCATTTCCCACATAACTCAGCACCTGGCTAATGCTACATGAAAGCTTTTTCTAAGGAATCAGTTGCAATCATAATAATTACCATTTATTGTAAATATGTGTATGAATCACTGTTCTGATTAGCATTACATATTTTATCTCATTTAATTCTCATAATGACTCTATGGCTTGCACTATTAGAACCTCATGAGATGAGGAAACTGAGGTTCAGTGAAGTAATACAACTTGCTTGGGATTACCTGACCACTAAGAGGCAGAGCTGTGTCATGAACCCAGGCCTGGAGCCTCAACCACATGTAACACTGTGCATGACACCATTCACAACACTGAGATACAGGGAAAAGACGGTAAAACGTGACTCTGTACCCCAGACACTGAGTTCTAAGAAAGGCGGGATAAGTGTGTGCCAGACGGTAAGTGTGTGCAGAACACAAAGAAGGAAGGCCCTTTATGGGGGTAGTTGTCCCTCAATGGGTAGAATGTGGCTAGATGGAGAGAAGGCTTTGCTTCCACAAGATCTGAACATCTCAGACGTCCTGGGTCCAGGTAAGTGCCCCTCACAGGTGCCTGCCCCTCCCTGACAGCCCAGGCCCCCCATTCATTCTCCCAGCGCGCAGCATACACCTCTGCGGCTGAGACCTGACCCCGCCTTGAGGAGCCTAAGACGAGCGAGGGAAACAGAAGCCAACAGTATATTCCTGCTGTTCTGAGGGAGTGGATAGCAGGCTGTGGGGACAGAGGGCCCTATGCCAAGCTGAAGGGGGATGTGGGAAGGCTTCCTGGAGGAGGCTGTGAGTAAGCAGAGCCTGAGGGATGGGCAGGAGCTGCCAGGGAACAAGAGGGAAGGACTGTTTATCCAGATGAAATCTGCACATGGATGTTTACAGCAGCTTCATTCATAATTGCCCCAACCTGGAAGTAGCCAAGGAGTCCTTCAGTAGGTGAATGGACTGTGTTCCACCGGACAATGGAATGTTATCAGAGGAGAAACGAGCGATCGAGCCACGAGAAGACATGGAGGACACGTAAATGCATAGTACTAAGTGAAAGAAGCCAATCTGAAAAGGCTGCCCACTGTATCCCATCTGGAGAAGGCAAAACTGGAGAGTAAAAGGACCAGCAGTCTTGGGGGACTGTGCAGGGAGCGGGAAGAAGGCTGAGCACAGAGAATTCTCAGGGCAGGGAAGTGACGGTGTTTGAGACTATAGCGGTGGATACGTGTCAGAATGGACACCACCACGAGTGGGCCCTCATGTGAGCTGGGCTTGGTGATGCTGATCTGTCAGTTTTCACGTGTACCACTCGGTGGGGGTGTTGGTAATGGGGGAGGGTGTGCCTGTGTGGAGGTTGGGAGTATATGGGAACTCTGTCTTCCTGCTTAATTTTGCTGTGGACCTAAAACTGCTCTAAAAAGGAAAGTCTAGTTTAAAAAAAGAAGGGAGAGGGGATGAATTGCAGGAAAGCTGGAAAGGAGTGAGAGGGGGCCAGTGGCACCTAAGGTGCTGAAAGGGAGGGAGAGCTGTGGAGTTGGAGCATGAGACTGGGGTAAGTGGGAGAGATGAGGCGGGATGTCAGCTGGGGCCAGAACTGGGGGACCTGAGGTCATGGCAGCATGTGGGACATGATCCGTGGGAGCGTGAGAGGTTAAGAACGGGGTCAGATATGCAGCTTAGAAGCTTGCGCTCGCCACTGTGTAGAAGATGGCTATAGAGGCCGATGGAGGTGGGGGCCACCATGAAATCAGGACAGTGTGAGGGCGAGGGCGAGGGCGAGGGCGACTCGGAGGGGTCCTGAGCGGGGCCCTGACTGCTGCTCTCTCCCCTCCCCTGCACCCCCCAGAGTTCGTCCGGATGATGTCCCGCTGAGGCCGGAGGCCCGGATCCAAGCTCCCCCGGCAGGGGAACGGCCAGGGCCGCTGCTGCAGCTGCCGAGCCCAGGATGGATGGTGGAGGGGGCCTGCTTGCACCCCGGGGAAGTGCCCACCCCGGACCCCCCCCTCTGCAATGTGAAAGATTCACAACTCCTGCAACTGGAAAGTGGGGCGCCCACCGACAAGGAGGCCGCAGTGCCAAGCCCACAGAGGTTATGCAAAGCGCCAAGTGCCATGTACCCAGCTGCTGCCGCTGGATGGGCCAGGGAGCCCGCCAGCAGAGCCCACATAGCATGTCTGCCTAGGGCAAAGCCTCTTGATGCCCTCCTTAGCGCTGTGCCCATCCCAGCTCGCCTCAGCCTTGTTATCTCAGAACCAATAAAAGTATTTCCGAGACCAAGGCCGCGTGGGGTCTTTGCTCCTGGGCCTGGTTAGCTGACGACATGTTTCCCGAGTACCAGCTGCACCCTGGCACTGGCGGGACATCCCTGCAGTCAGCAGGCATTTAGCGGGTGCTGCTAGGTACCCAGCCACCTCCTCACTGTCCTCAGTAGCCAGCACCTTGCACCGTTAGCTGCAAGGGAGATGGAGGTGTAGTAATTTGGCTGGGTACGCAGCTGCCACAGTTCTATAGTGAGTCCCTGCTCAATGGTGCCAGTAGGTTCTGCTGCTCTAAGTGAAACAACAGAGAATGAGATCAGCTCACCATAGGCTAATGAGTATAAGCAAGAGTTAAGTTCCTGAGCATCTAATCAAACAAAACGTGATTCCAGGACCTGCTGTGTAAGAGAGAGAATGGGTATTGGGTACACATCTGAAGGGGCCTGCCCCACTTCCTGTCTCACTGGAGCTTTCCCACTGGTCAGGGGGTTACAGATTGGTGCTGCCATCAGGGAAAAGGCAGAGACCTTCGGTGGGGCACAGGCAGGAGGCCTGGGCGCCTCTGGGAGGTCAGGGAGGCTTTCCTGAGGAAGCGATGACGAGGACTGTGCCCTGGAGGAAATGCCAGTGTGCGTGTGCGCGTGTGTGTGTCTGTCTGTGTCTGTGTGTGCGTGCGTGTGTGTGTGTGTGTCTCTCTGTGTGCGCGCGCGTGTGTGTGACATGTAGAAACAGCTGCCACCTCTCCGTGTGTGTGTGTGTGTGCGTGCGTGTGTGCATGTGTGTCTGTGTGTCTGTGTCTGTGTGCGTGTGTGTGCATGTATGTGTGTGGTGACATGTAGAAACAGCTGCCACCTCTCCAGGTGTGTGTGCGTGTGTGCGGGTGTGTGTGTGTGTGTGTGTGTGTGTGTGTGTGTGTGGCGCCAGATGTAAAAACAGCTGCCACCTCTCCACGTGTGTGTGTGTATGTGTGTGTGTGTGTGGCGACAGATGTAGAAACAGCTGCCACCCCTCCAGGAGCAGGAAGCAGAGAGCAGAGGAGTTAGGCTCTGGGTTCATTTGCTGTGTGGCTTTGGGCAGTCCTGTCCCCTCTCTGAACCTCAGTTCACTGAGATGTGACATGAGGTAATAAAGGTAACGGAGTCCACAGGAAGGACCCTCAGGGCGTACATCACACCCCAGGCCGCTGTGGCCATAACTGCGTGGAGTTGTGCCGCCTGCAGTGTTAACCATCACCGTCATTGGCGTTAATGCGGCCAGCGAGGGTGGAAGGGGCCCGCAGAAGTCTGGGTAGAAGCTGCCCGGGGTCTTGGGTGTGGGCCGTAATCAGACGGTGCCCAAGCCAGTGGTTCTCCAACTTCAGTGTGTGAAGAGTCGCCTGGAGCGTTTGTGAAGCCACAGATGTGGCCCTGGCCTGATGCTTGTGATTCAGTGTTAGGATTGGGGTCCATCAATTCGCATCTCTAACAAGCCCGGGGCTGCGGATGCTGCCCAGTCCGTGGGCCATGATTTAAATTACAGTGTTACAAATCCTAGAGCGGGAGGCAGGTGTCTTTCCCGGCAGCTGGGGTGGGTGCTGAGGGCTAACGGCTGGAAGTGGGAAGTGGGAGAACAATCCTGGACCCATATGTTGCAGCTCAGGGACGGTCCTTGGTCTTAGACATGGCAGGGGATGTGGGCCCCTGCCAGAGGCCTGGGTATTCCCGTGTCCCTGTGGGCAGCAGGGCTGGGAACTCCAAATTCACTAATAATCCAATCCTGGGACTCAGCCCTTGGCTCTGTGCTCTGCAGCAGCCTGTTGCACTGCCTGCCCCCGTGCTTGCTTACCTTTGCCCGGAGACCAGAGCTACGCTGTCAGAGATGCAGTGTTTCTGGAGGGCTACTGTGGGCACCTCTGTTAGCTGACCATTTGAGCCCCTGCAGGCACGGTAGGGAGGAGGAGCTAGGGTGTTAGGTATGACACTCCTGTCCCTAGAATGGCCTCTTTAAAAAACAAACAAAAAACACAAAACTCAGTGCCTTTGATCAAATGACTCAGCAATTTAGCCAGGCCACTGCTCAGAGGAACCCACCTGCTCGGGACAGGGGGGGCCCGGAGTGGGGTGGCCTCTGCCTCCTCCAGTGCCGAACTGCACTCCTTGCCTTGAACGTGTCTTATATTTAGGGTGCCTAGCAGGATTGCTGACAGAAAGGGCTCTGTTGCTTTCCAAGACACAGACTCAGTTTTCTAGAAGGACCTATTTGAGATAGGAATTCTTTCTTTTCTTTTCTTTTCTTTTCTTTTCTTTTCTTTCTTTCTTTCTTTCTTTCTTTCTTTCTTTCTTTCTTTCTTTCTTTCTTTCTCTCTTTCTTTCTCTCTTTCTTTCTCTCTTCCTTCCTTCCTTCCTTCCTTCCTTCCTTCCTTCCTTCCTTCCTTCCTTCCTTCCTTCCTTCCTTCCTTTTAATCCTCACCCAAGGACGTATGTTGAGAAAGAGACATCGATGTGAGAGAGAAATCAGTTGCCTCCCATATGCAGGCTGACTGGGGATTGAACTCAAAACCTAGGTATGTTGGGTATGTGCCCTGACTGGGAATCAAACCTGCAACAGGAATCTTTCTGCAACCTGTACCGCACCATGGATTGAATGCCTCTGGTGGGAAGCTCGGTGCATGTCATCTTAGAGTAGCTCTCATTGTCTGAAACTAAGCCCAGGACTGCCTCCTGGGACGCATGAGGTCCATTCATCCATACATGCATTCAGTTGGTATTCACTGAGCATCTGTGAGGGGGCAGGTCCTGTGCCAGGGTCCTTGTCTTTGAGGAGCTCAGACTCTAGCGGGAAAACATAAGAAAACAGACAAGTGTAACATAATGGTACTAAGTTACTCCCAAGGTTAGCTTAGGACCATGGTCGGCAAATTGCGGCTCGCGAGCCACATGCGGCTCTTTGGCCCCTTGAGTGTGGCTCTTGGTGAGTATTTTGAAGAAGTGGCGTTAGAAGAAGTTTAAGTTTAAAAAATGTGGCTCTCAAAAGAAATTTCAATCGTTGTGCTGTTGATATTTGGCTCTGTTGACTATGAGTTTGCCAACCACTGGCCTAGGAGAAGTTAGGGCACGTAAAAGGCACCCAGTCCCACCTGGCTGGTGGGGTGATATGGAAGGGGCAGAGTTGCTAGAACCTGAAAATGTCCCTGCAGCAGTGTGGCTAAGAGCACGGCTGTGATCAAAAGACAGAAAGACAGACATTCCGTGCCCTGACAGAAGAACACAGCCTTGGGGTCTTGCCAGAAGGGTCCAACTGGAGTCTGATCACGCCCTGGAGCCAGCGGGCAATTGGCAGGAAATTCAGAGATCGGGGAACATGGAGTTGTACTGTGAGTATTTCACTGTCAAAATCAGACTGGGAAACTCCACAGGGCAAATGGCTCTGGTTCTTCAACAGAGAAATTACAAGAAAAACTAAGAAATGGAGGACTTGTAGATTAAAAGAGACTTAAGATTATCAAGTTAGAAAAAAAATGGGCCTAACTAAACAGTGTCTAGGGTGAAATGTAAGGGGCCTTAGCTGGTTTGGTTCAATGGATAGAGCATTGGCCTGCAGACCGAAAGGTCCCTGTTCGATTCCGGTCAAGGGCATGTACCACAGTTGCAGGCTCTTCCTGATCGGGCACGTGTAGGAGATAACTAATCGATGTGTTTCTCTCACATCCATATTTCTCTCTCTTTAAAAATCAATGGAAAAAAGCCCCTAGAAATGACATTAGTGGGACAACTGGTGGCATTCAGCTACAGTTTGCATATTCTAGAATACTAATTCATTGATGTTAATTTTCTGATTTTGATGGTTGGACTATGGTTTTGTAAGATGTTACCACTTGGGGAAGCTGGGTGAAGAACATGTAAGACTTAGCTGTACTATATTTACAACTTTTCCTAAGTCTGAAATTATTTCAAAATAAATTGAAAAAAAATGTATTAAAAAAAATCAATGGAAAAATATCCTTGGGTGAGTATTAAAAATAAATAAATAAATAAATAAAAAGAAATATAAGAGTATTTGTTTTTATTTATTTATTTTTTATTTTTTTAAATATCTTTTTATTGATTTCAGAGAAGGGAGACAGAGAGAGATAGAAACATCAGTGATGAGAGAGTATCATCGGCTGCCGCCTGCACGCCCCACACTGTGGATCGAGTCTACAGCCTGGGCATGTGCCCTGACCAGGAATCAAACTGTTGACCCTTGGTTCATAGATTAATACTCAACCACGGAGTGACCAAGCTGGGCAGGGTTGTTTTTTATTTTAAAGTGAGCTCAGGAGCCAGCCACCTAGATTCAAATCCTGGCTCTGCCATTTGGTAGCTGCATCATCTTGGGTAAGTTTTAAATCTGCACCTCAGTTTCTTCATCTGTAAAATGGGGATGATGTTATAGGTTGTTTTGAAGATTAAACAAGTTAGTACCTGGCACACAGTAAGCATTGTAAACATTTTTGCAATTATTTTTTCATTGTTATCCCCTATTTCCCTACCCCTCTCTCCCGTGTGCTCTCAAACTTCTGTGATTCCCCTCGCAAGGAAAGGGGAAGGGAGAGCCTTATCTTGTAAGTGACAAGATAGTCCCAGCTTAAATCTG